TGGTTCCACAGGACTTGCTCCACTCCTGGCTCTTCTTTCTTGGTAATAATCAGGCTCTTTCCTCTTTGCTCACTTCTCTCGTCTCATGTAAGATAAAAGGTAATGCAAACAATACCCCATGGAAACTCCTCTTCCGTCAGATCAGTAAGTGTGGTGTCTTAAGCAAGGGTGATACACCCCACCTTAATCCTTGCTCATTAACAAACATAACCTAGAGAAGCCCTGGTGGCATAGCAGTTCTACGTACATTGGGCTGCTAACTGCAAGATCAACAGTTCAAAACCACTACTTGCCCCAAGGAAGAAAGACTAGCCTTTCGATTCCAATGAAGAGTTACTATCTTGGAAGGCCACAGGGATCTCCATGGGTCAGAATTGACTCGATGGCAGTGACGTTTTCTTGGATTTGAGTCCTGCCTCATTAACCACAGGCAGAGGTTAGAGTTTACAACACATTACAAGATGGAGGATGATGACATCAGATCACAAACTGGATGTCAGTCACATATATTGAGAATCATGACCTAGCCAAGTGGACACCTGTTTTGAGGGGCACGAGTCAACCCACCATAGGGCCATAGTCAGACACAATATCTGCTGAGGCTGCCCAACATGATGTCAGTGTTGCTCTTCAATATCTGGGGTTGTAGCCGGAAATTACTGGCTTGGGGTATGAAATGCTAAGAAGGAGAGGGCTCACCCATGATGCCACATTCATCTACCTACTCTCCCCTTCTGTCCCAGTGTCCCCCTTAGGAGAGGAGCCAAGTGTCAAGACACAAGTTCAGCCCCTGCTGCTGCTCCTGCTTCTGGGGCTGTGGGTGGCTAAGGTCCCTGTCAGTGCCACGTGCAAGCACATGACGTCAGCTCGGTGGTTTGAAACACAGCACGCACAGCCCCGTCCTCAAAACTGCAACATTATGATGATAAACACCAACCAGTACTTGAAACACTGCAAACCCCTCAACACCTTCGTGCATGACTCCTTCGCCAGTGTGGCCACCATTTGCCAGACGCCCATCATAACCTGCAAGAATGGCTGTGAAAACTGTCACCTGAGCCAAGAGCCCGTGTCCCTGACCATGTGCGAGCACATCTCAGGGAAGTACCCCGACAGAGGCACCGTGGCCCGTGACCCTCCACAACAGAAGGATGGCCAGGAGTCTGAGTTGGTCCCCGTGCACTTAGACAGTGCCTTCTAAGGCCAGGGCCTCCACCTCCAAAGCTCTGCCCCTCCCATTGCCGCAGCTGCATTTCCTCCCTTGAGTTCTTTACTAATCTTTACACACACACCCCTTGCAAATGGCGTTTCCCTCCCACACACCCAGCTTCTCATCCTCTGGATTGCTGAAGGGCTCCTTCAGATGTCACTCTCTTCAGCTTTTCAGTGTCTCTTCATCTGCCTTCTAAGTGTCTAGTCCGTCATGGTCTTCCAGGGTCAAACACTTGGCTCTCAACCAGGGTAGATACCAATGCTGTGGTGTCTTTGGCTTATAGGGAGTCCCTGAGGGACGTAATTGGGTACGCCCCCATCTACAAGGTTAACGAGTCCAGTCCACCCTGAAGCACCTCAGAAGAAAGTCCTGGCAATCTGCTTCCAAAAGCTCACAGCCACTGGAACCCCAATGGAGGTAGTTTGACTCTGAAGCACGCGCGATGGCCCTGACTCCAAATGGATCCGATGAAAGCCGGTTTGGCTTGTGCCTCGTCGAATTTTGAAAACTCTCTTAGCGAACCAGATTACAAAGTTACAGATACAAAAATAAGGGAAAGTTCTTGGAAGGGACTGTCTTTGGACAGTTCAGACAGACTCTGGGAAAAGAAGATTCTCTACGAAGAGAAGGCAGGAGAATCTGAGCCGGGGTCCCTGTGCTAGGTGAGGGCAGATGTCGGATTTTATTGCAATAAAACACACTGCTGTGCCTGATGGAATGTGTATTATTGTCCGGGGGAACATGTGAAGGTTCGGATCCCCATAGAACCTTCTAAAGGATCCCTAGTAGCACACTGATTAAAGCACTAACTACTCCGAAGGAGAAAAGACCTGACATTCTGTTCCCACAAAGATCAGAACCTAGGAAAGCTATGGGGCAGTTCTCAGTCCAATCCGGTTGCTACGAGTTGGGATCAACTCAACAGCAAACAACAGGAAGCATCTCCTATGCGTCCTAGGAAGACGCCCCTCTCTCTGCCTTAAGTAACGGTATTCGGAGCTCCATTCATCACTTTTTCCTTCTGACTCCATACTCCCCTGGAGGGTCTTGATCAGCAGCCATGGCTTCACCTGTCACTTGTTTGCTCTCAAAAGCCTATGTATGCCTAGCCCAAGTTCATTACAAATATCCATCTGTCTACTATTACTAGCCCACCGGAGGAGGTTCCTCTACTGTTACTAGCCTCCTCCTCTCAACCTAAAGATACTCAGAGCCGAGCTCAGATTGGCCTGGCTTCCAAATGTGGCCCTTCTTGCAGTAGCTTTCAGTCTTGGTTAGTGGACACAACACAGTCAGTTACTCAAGGTTCCAGTCTACAAGACACGTGTGCCAAGTCATCCTCCTTTTAATTGTTTACATGTGTTGTTGTTTCCCCATCTATCACCCCAAGTACTGTCTCTAGAGGACAAACACTTTGAGATTTCCTTTCATCTCCCCCACCCCACGCCCACCTCAAAGTTCATTAACTTCCTAACATGATGGTGTCATGGTGTTAGAGGGTGTAATAGTCTGGGTACTTTAGAGAAACAAATCCACAGAAACCCATATGTATAAGAGAGAGTTTTATATAAAGGTTAAGCGCACATCAAGAAAACATCCCAACCCAGTGCTGCCCAAGCCCACAAGTCCAAAATTAACCCATATGTCCAACACCAATCCACAAAGTCCTCCTCCATCTCACAAAACAGACGCAACGATACTGACTGCAGGAAGAAAGCCGAGTCAGTGGATGTGTAAGCATCTTAGTGCTGGCAGGAGTCTCCATACGACTGCCCCAGCACCCAGGGCTGCATCGGGGTAGGTCCATGTGGTTTCTCCTTGGGGATGTGTTACAGGAAGTGAGCCTTGCTAGCTGAAGCAGGGAACTGGCTAAAGCAGCTGCATCCCTGTTTAACCATCAGAAAGCAAAAGACCTGAGAACTAGAAAGGTGAGGCTCACTGAGCCATTTATCCTTCTGCCCTTCAATTAACCCCACATGTGTTTATCGGCCAGGTTGGCACAATAAACTAACTACCTCAGAGGGGACTGTGATTTGGCATTAGGCAAGCATCCCTAAATTGTTGCAATCTCAAAGTCAACGTCTAGTTTAGAGGTCAGGATTAAAAACACTATAAAGCAGTAAGAAGAAAATAATGAGAAATATGGATTCGGTAAAATTTTTCTCCCACCTCCCCCCAGAGTTTCATGAATCCTACCTTAAAGTGTCTTCTCTGTTTCATGTTAACCTTCTTACTCCAAGTCTCTCGCATGACCTTCAGACCATAAGTAAAGTTCAAGAAAACCAAGGGAAATTCAACCATTCTTTTTCTGTAAGGGTTGTGGCCCTGGCCACTGGGAAAGAGTGTGGAAAGAATGGAGAATAGAATGAATCCCAAAATATATGAGTTGTATCCAAACAAGCGATGTTAACAACCTGGGCAAGAGTTTCTGATTTCCTGTGTCGGTTGAAGAATTTGATGCAGCGTAAATTGAGTCTAGAGACCATAAGCTGTGACACGGACTGTTTTAGAGAGTAATGACACAACACCAAAAGCAGAGATCAGCAAGGCAGTCGGGAGCCTGGGGAGAGTTGTCCTGGAAGCCCTGGGATGAAATCTCAGCTGGGTATGTTCTCTGGGCCACTGAGACCATGTTCTCCCAAAATCACCTGGGAAGAGTTCAGAATCACATAATTAATTCTTAGTGGGTGAGTATGTTTTAAGAAGCCCTAGTGATGCACTGGTTAAAATGCTCAGCTGCTACCTGACAGATAGGTCGGTGATTCAAGCCCACCAGCAGCTCTGGTGAGAAGGAGAGACAGTCTGCTCCTATAACGAGACAGCTTTGGAAATGCTATGGGGCAGTTCTGTTCTGTCCTACAGGGACACTAGAAATCAGAACCAACTCAAAGGCAATGAGTTTTCTATTTGAAATATGTTTTACCAGCAAAAAAATTACAATTGCTAGAAATGTTTAAGGGCATCAAACACACACCATTAGTATATTTGTATTAAGGGGTGTGTATCTATTTGTAGTTTTCATTATTTGCAGTTATTCAAGATAATCTGGTCAGTTACAGTAACAGACTAGATTTATCATTCTAATTGAAAATGTGTTCTTGGTTTAGAAGTGGTTTGAATTAGAATTTTCCTTTAAAATTAGTTTTCAAATGTTTAAGAGAACATGACGTATTGAATAACCCTATTTGTGAGTTACTAAATTGCTAAGTTTTGTTGGTACTCAGGGATGCCTTGTTAGCTCAGATGACCAAATTACTGTAAAAGGATATGAAATATACTAAGGTTGTAAAATGTTTAAAGGAGTTTTATGAACTGTGTTTACAAATGGGGCTAAATGTTCATCAAATACCTCTTTGGAAGTGATTGCTTAAAAAGTACTCATTTGTAAGTCAAGTATAAAAGCTTAAGGAAGAACCGGATTGTACTATAATGAACCCACCCAAAACCACTGCCACTGAGCTAACTCTGACTCAGAGCACCTTTCGTAGGGTTTACGAGGCTGTAAATCTTTACCGGAACACAGAGCCTCCGCTGGTGATTCTGAGCCACTAACCTTGTGGTTAGAAGCCCAGCACTTACCCAACCCGCCACCAGGGTTCCTAATAGAGTGGACATACATTTTAAGTTTAAAACAATGTTTGATTTACTAGAGGAAACATAACTTTTTAAAAATCAAAGCAGGCTGCTGAATATTTTAGTTTCTGGACTCTAAGGGAAACTGTTAAGCCTCCCATTGCCATGCCAAGACTAGTTCATTCTCTGTGCACAGTTAGCTTTGGTGAGTGTAGTTTCTGCTGTCCTATGTCTATTGTTTTTACTGGACCTGCAGGAAGGGAGGGGCCACTGGCGATTGGGCAGCCAAGGCTCCAGGACCTCTCAGTGTGCTCTCCTGCCTGGAACTGCGCTGCCTCTGGGTGGGTCCTGCTGGTGACTTGTGGACGGTCTTCCCTTACATTCTGGAAGAACTGAAATAGGCGAGCAGAACTGCTCTGTGACCAGAGAGGTGGTGGCAGAGGAAATCAGCCAAAAACACTCCAAGAAAGAATAAAACTCCGGGCCTATGGTTGAGTCTGTCTCCTCAGTAGCGGCACTTCTCCTCAACTAGATCGAAAGGTTTGCAATGAGATG